TTGATAATTGGACAGTAGTATTGCATAGCAGTTGGTTGTCGGGAGAGTGTAAAAAGACTTTACAAATGCACCTCATTTGACGCACAGATTTACACTCGTCCCAAACCATTTTTCTGTTGTTTTTTTCCCTTTTTGGTTATTTCTGTCCATGATTGGATAGAAAAAAACCCAACTACAAATACTCCAAGATTTTTTAGACTTCATTAAAAAATAAAATCGTTTTTGTAGGATGGAAACTTTTTGAGGTCAAAACCCCCCATCCCCAAACTAAAGGAAATAAGTTTTTTAATCGACATCGATCTTTTGACGTCGTCCCTAACACATCCCTTACATTCATTTTCGCAACGACACATCTTTTCCTATCAGGGCTAGGCTCATCTAAAGTTGTCTTTCGTTTTTGGCCGGTAGCTCTTCTGATAGCAGTACTTTGCTGACAGCTTCGACACATATCGGAAGCAGAAGCCTATGATAATATGCGACAACACTTTATATCACGCACACTTTGAACAGTTTTACCATTTACTGAATTAGATTCAATTGATATGTTGTGTATGACAATAATATTACATGGTTTGGTTACACCAATGCATAGTTTTATCCTGTCTAAGAAGAGTACTAGTCTAAGAATATTTAACTTATATTCTGTAAAAAACGTGGCTGTTGGAAACCCATACTGTTTCAAATCAACTGTCATTTCATTTATCTTAACACTAAAGGAGTCATCACTGGTAAAAGTTACAGACATAATGTGGATACCAATCAGCTTCTCTTGGATAAAGTGCTTTTCACAAGGTTACAGTCACAGTGTTACTGGTAATATCAGACTGAAAGAACCCTTTATTCAACATTAATGTTGCGATTTCACATTTGTCAAGTGATTCTTTATATCCATCCTTATTGTGGCACTATGTTATACCTCTGTATATTTCTAAAAAGAAAATACACATCGTACTCAACTAGAAATACAGTCAGATTATTATGACAGGGACCATGAAGAAAATTGTTGAAAGCCTCAATCACTTGGAAAAATATACTGCGAGTAATAATTGCGTGTAATAAATTACAAATTAACTGTATAATAATTAGCCACTGCAATTATTGTTTAAATAACGAAATACCCGATTGTGATTTCGCATTGGAATAGTGCACGAAGAAGGATTGGCAAATCAACGCGTACTAACCAAATGAATACATTGATTTCTAAATTAGCTACTGTGACAAAGGCTTGCACAAATGACGACGATACAAGTTTAAGAAAAACTCATAATATTTCAATTTTACAAAGGGACCGGACACCTTACAATCAGATTATTTAGTGTATGGCTATGCAATGGCATTTTCTCTTTCCATATAAAAGTGCTGAATTTGGGACCCCATCTGGTGGCACATATGTGTATATCTTTTCAACGGGAGTACCCCCTAGAGACTGAACAAATCCAGTTACGTTAACGACTCAGTCACGTTGTGATTGGAGTTTGACTGGAAACACAAGCTAAGGTAACTAGCTAAGGTAAGCGTGAATAGTGTGACCGTTTTTTATCGACATTCTTTACACACCTTCAACGTGTCTTTTTTCACTTCTTGGTATATATTCGAATCTGTCTTATTATTTCCAATCACAGCCAACGGTTGTCTATTGCGGTTAGACCTACATTGTATATATTGTTGGTACAAAACATTTCAGAGCTCTAGAAAATATCTGCCATTGAAATCGGAAAATAATGATATAGTACATTACTAAAAAAAACAAATCCTAGTCTGCAACAACACACAACAAAAGACGATATTTAATAGGATCTTACAGGAACAGAGCATTGATTGAGTCCTAGTCTATGTACCTTTTTACTGACAATCTTGTCGCTCCCAGTGGTGGCCGCAAATGACATAGAATACGCTTTGTAAATTGACCCACACACAATGCCATCACTCTCATTTGCACTTCTCAAGTTTGACAAAATCCTGCATATACATATACATGTAAAAACAGAATTTAAAAAGAAGACGAACTAGCTTGCAGTGTGTATACTGTGTAGATTGATGTATACTTATGGTGAAAAATAAATTCTAATTTATTCATATTGACGATTACAGTCATATTCGATCATCTATTTATTATAAGATACATGTAATAGCGTTTTAAACATGTTTTACAAGTGGTGTTTTAACTTTAAAGCAATCGGTACAAACACGAGACCGTGTTCGACGAAATGCTACTTGACACCCCCTGTAAAGCAGCGAATTTTCGAAAAAGCATTTACCAACACATTGAGATTGGTGTAAAATAGTTAATGTTATATGCGATAGTACCTACCAATAACTATAAAATGCCATTTCCAGCTTTCATAAGAGATGAAACGCCCATTTCTTCCGGATTTTGGCTCCCGTATTTGCGTTCGTAGGTGACCGCTATTGTATTTGAAATCAGTGTGACCCTTTGACCCGAGCCCTTTCCACAAATGAGCGTTCAATGGGCGGAGCTTGTCAGGGAGTAGTTGTGTTTTTCACGTTGCGACAATCGATAGCGCCAGAAATTATCATTTTTTGCGAATTTACAGGCAAATTATTACAAACGTATGACAAAATTGGATAAATAAGAGTCTGATAGTCAAGTGGATTGCTTTTTTGGTGAGTGTAGTGTGCGAGTTTATTCACAAACCAGCCGTATTCGTTTGGTGTACAGCGATTCCAAGTGCGGACGTTTCATACCCTGTCTTTATTTCTATAATACTAATATATAACCCTACCCAAGCCTAGTATATAACCCTACCCAAGCCTTCCTTAACCATAAATCCTGCTGCAAGTGCCCGTGGTCCAAACAGTCAGACAGACCAGATACCCTGATATACAGTTCCAGACAGTCAAACAGTCCAGGTATGTCTGAGATAGAGGTCCGGACACTCAGACAGTTCAGGTATGTTTGAGATACAGCTACATGTATGGACAGTCAGAAAACTAAACAACAAGATATAGACAAGTACATCACATTTTTAAAAATATGAAGCCTGGCGATGCTAAAGTGTATGTTTTGCTGAGCCAATCTGACAATGAAAAAAATAATTATGGAAATAATAAGTCACACGACGAGGTCGGATAGCTGTACATGTAAGTCACTTGACTAGGTCACTGGGATTGTACACTTACCATTGACAAATCGGTAGAAAATCCAATAGCTATGTATTCTTCTCCCATTCTCATTTTGCCAAGGAGTTCAAATATTATATTATCATTATCTTGTCTCCAAGATACCAGTACATCACAGTCATCCTTATTCACACAGTCATTTGGTGACAAATAACAACCTTTTGTATCACCGCATCCATTAGAAGTCACTAAATCTTGAGAAGCTGTGACAACCTACAAAATTTACAAAATTAAACAGCAAGTTATATATATATTCATTAGACTGGCAAAGTAGGGACTTCTTATTTGTTTTACAAAAGAAATAATTGTTTTAAGTCCTTTTAGCGTGATCATGAAAACTAATGTGACCGCGAAAGAAATTCCGAGTGGACGCATCTGCGGGCATTTGACTGCTAATAATTATTCATGATGTCATTGATTATTCATGAGTGGGTGTGTGAAAGTAAACAAGACATTTTAATGGTTGGGTCACATTGCAAATGGCAGACTAGTCATGGAAACATGTGAATGCTCTGCTGCTAGTCGTATCTTGTAGTTTAGAACTGAAAATGTAGCTGACACAGGATAAACTGCTGTAGTGTAGTGTAGTGTAGTGTAGTGTAGTGTAGTGTAGTGTAGTGTAGTGTAGTGTAGGTTAGAATTATGGTGGTAGTGGTGCTGTAGGTTATTTCACTCTCAAAAATGGTAATGTGATTCAAACAGGTGCAGTCAACAACTTTTAATAAGCATAATCACGGGAGTGATTCCGCTTCGGTGTTCACTCCAATGCAGGGGGTCGCCTGCAGATGCGTTCTGTCGGGATTTCTTTTGCAATCACACTAGTTTTCGCTATCTAACTTAAAAGGCTAAATTCACAATTAATTTTTTTTTTGGGTAAAACAAAAGAGAAGTCCTGACTTTGCCAGTCTAGTTATTCATATATGTACTGTATCACATCATTCTAACACTACATTAAAGGAACAATGTCATCAGACACACTACACAGTTCATGCAAACACAATAAGGCACATGACTGTCACCCTATCACTGGGCACACACACAGTATCATAGTCCCTCTAATACTACCCTCACGCCACATCCCCTCTATCACCACCCTCACGTCACAGTCCATATATCACTGCCCTCACGTCAGTCCTCTATCACTGCCCACACGTCACAGTCCTCTATCACTGCCCTCACGTCAGTCCTCTATCACTGCCCTCACGTCACAGTCCTCTATCACTGCCCTCACGTCACAGTCCCTATATCAACGCCCTCAGTCACAGTCCATATATCACTGCCCTCACGTCACAGTCCCTCTATCGCCGCCCTCAGTCACAGTCCATATATCACTGCCCTCACGTCAGTCCTTCTATCTCCGCCCTCAGTCACAGTCCCTCTATTGCCACCCTCACGTCACAGTCCCTCTATCGCCGCCCTCAGTCACAGTCCCTCTATCGCCGCCCTCACATCACAGTCCCTCTATCGTCACTCACAGTCACAGTCCATATATAACTAAACTCACGTCACAGTCCCTCTATTGTCACCCTCATATCACAGTCCCTCTATAGCCTCCCTCAGTCAGTCCATCTATCGCCGCCCTCACGTCACAGTCCTCTATCACTGCCCTCGTGTCACAGTTCTCTATCACTGCTCTTACATCACAGTCCCTCTATCACTGCCCTCACGTCACAGTCCTCTATCACTGCCCTCACGTCACAGTCCTCTATCAATGCTCTCACGTCACAGTCCTCTATCACTGCCCTCAGGTCACAGTCCTCTATCACTGCCCTCATGTCACAGTCCTCTATCACTGCTCTTACATCACAGTCCCTCTATCACTGCCCTCACGTCACAGTCCTCTATCACTGCCCTCACGTCACAGTCCTCTATCACTGCCCTCATGTCACAGTCCTCTATCACTGCTCTTACGTCACAGTCCCTCTATCATTGCTCTCACGTCACAGTCCTCTATCACTGCTCTCACGTCACAGTCCTCTATCACTGCTCTCACGTCACAGTCCTCTATCACTGCCCTCACGTCACAGTCCTCTATCACTGCCCTCACGTCACAGTCCTCTATCACTGCCCTCACGTCACAGTCCTCTATCACTGCCCTCACGTCACAGTCCTCTATCACTGCCCTCACATCACAGTCCTCTATCACTGCCCTCACGTCACAGTCCTCTATCACTGCTCTCACGTCACAGTCCTCTATCACTGCTCTCACGTCACAGTCCTCTATCACTGCTCTCACGTCACAGTCCTCTATCACTGCTCTCACGTCACAGTCCCTCTATCATTGCTCTCACGTCACAGTCCTCTATCATTGCTCTCACGTCACAGTCCTCTATCACTGCTCTCATGTCACAGTCCTCTATCACTGCTCTTACGTCACAGTCCCTCTATCATTGCTCTCACGTCACAGTCCCTCTATCACTGCCCTCACGTCACAGTCCTCTATCACTGCTCTCACGTCACAGTCCTCTATCACTGCTCTTACGTCACAGTCCCTCTATCATTGCTCTCACGTCACAGTCCCTCTATCATTGCTCTCACGTCACAGTCCTCTATCACTGCTCTTACGTCACAGTCCCTCTATCACTGCCCTCACATCAGTCCTCTATCACTGCCCTCACATCACAGTCCTCTATCACTGCCCTCACGTCACAGTCCTCTATCACTGCCCTCACGTCACAGTCCTCTATCACTGCCCTCACGTCACAGTATCTCTATCATTGCTCTCACGTCACAGTCCCTCTATCACTGCCCTCACGTCACAGTCCTCTATCACTGCCCTCACGTCACAGTCCCCAATCACTGCCCTCACATCACAGTCCCTCTATCACTGCCCTCACGTCACAGTCCCCAATCACTACCCTCATGTCACAGTCCTTCTATCACTGCCCTCACGTCACAGTCCTCTATTGCCACCCTCTAGAGTAGACACAAGATTTGAATTCACCTCAAGCTCTCTGAGATTAGATGCAAAATTTGAATTCATCTCAAACTCTCTGAGATTAGATGCAAAATTTGAATTCACCTCAAGCTCTCTGAGTAGATGCAAAATCGGAATTCATCTCAAACTCTCTGATTAGATGCAAAATTTGAATTTATCTCAAACTCTGTGAAACAATGCAAAACTTAAATACAATTAACATGAACCCATTTTAACAAAATATATAATATATCTAATATATGCTTACAGGTACTGGTGTGGCAGTTGATCCTATAGTTGGTGGTGGTGGACCAGAAATTGTTTCAGATTTCAATCCACTCCAATAAACTATTTTAGCTTGTACCACTGTTAACCTAGAAAAGCCAACAAATAACTTTTGAAATACGAATGAAGACTTTTGAGTTAATAATGAAACATTAAGATATTTATACTTTCACTGGTAGATTTGTTCACAACGATAGACAGTGCATGCTGATCAAAGTTGGTTGTTATTGGCTTAGAAGTGCCACAAATGAACAATGGAATGCTCGTCTGAGTGGGTTGTTCATGGTTTAGAATAGTCACGAGTAGACAGTGGACACAGTCAGTTTCTTTTGGGTTAGGAACAACTAATGAGGCTAACCAGTCGAAACAGAGCACTGAGAGTAAAATGGTGCTGGATGTTTCCAGGAGGCACATACTGATTTAGCCAGCTACCTGTAGTTTGGAACCACAAACACTTGCAAGTAGAAGCCTGAACTTATCGCCAGGTCCTCTATGCTGTGTCTAGCGCCCTTTGTAAGCAAACTGTCTACCTCCTGTCGAATTGCTTCCGCTTTGCGGAGATCCCCTGGCAGTGCCCTGGGGGGCTGACAGGGGATGTGAAGATCGCAGCGGGATCTTGTAACCATGTATCACCGTCTGGAGAGTCCAGGGGTTGGTTACGTGGTACCTCCAAGTAGAAATACACCGGCGCAATCTTTGAGCTACAGAGATATGTGGGTTCGGTGATTCTACATCAGGGGTGATCTCTCCTCCGTCAAGGTGAGACCCCGTGAGGCCTGCTAGAAGTCGATAGGTTCAGACTCTCGCTGAACATATGCCAATCCCTCTCACCACAGGCGGAACTTGCTCCCCTGCAAGCTGAGTGGCCAACCACCCAAGGAAGAGTGGCGACCAACACCACCCTTCTTTCGCGGGTACTCTTCCCTCCCCCAGAAGGGCTGGGCCACTTGCCTCCTGACTACTTCAGGTCAGTACATTTTCTCAGCTTGGGGTCCTTTTCGCTTGCCCTTGGCGGCAGCCAAACTGGCTCGCGGGTTTCACCTGTACCAACTGGTCAATGGGATCCCGAAGCACCAAGACTGCTCCTTCCATCCTCAAATGAAAGAGGGTAGAAGAGGTCCAGTATGCATAACTGAGGCAGTGATGCACCCCGTGACTCAGTATCCAGCTGCACAAAGGCATCCCCTGCCACGAGAGCCAGATGACACTGTGAGATATTCCACGTTGGTTGCTTTTGGATTATGGGTGCCACAAACGAACAGTGCATGTTGGTCTGAGTTTGTCGTTTTTGGATTATGGGTGCCACAAATGGACAGTACATGTTGGTCTGAGTTGGTTGCTATTGGATTGTGGGTACCACAAATGGACAGTGCATGTTGGTCTGAGTTGGTTGCTATTGGATTGTGGGTGCCACAAATGGACAGTACATGTTGGTCTGAGTTGGTTGCTTTTGGATTGTGGGTGCCACAAATGGACAGTACATGTTGGTCTGAGTTGGTTGCTTTTGGATTATGGGTGCCACAAATGGACAGTACATGTTGGTCTGAATTTGTTTCTTTTGGATTATGGGTGCCACAAATGGACAGTGCATGTTGGTCTGAGTTGGTTGCTATTGGAATGTGGGTGCCACAAATGGACAGTACATGTTGGTCTGAGTTGGTTGCTATTGGATTATGGGTGCCACAAATGGACAGTACATGTTGGTCTGAGTTTGTCGTTTTTGGATTATGGGTGCCACAAATGGACAGTGCATGTTGGTCTGAGTTTGTCGTTTTTGGATTATGGGTGCCACAAACGAACAGTGCATGTTGGT